TATTGGTTGGTGCCACTCATATCCAGGGTGGGTCTCTCCCCCTTATTTGGGGGCCTACATGTCAATCATCCACAGACCCATCCATTTTACTAATCAGCTAGGTGGTTCTTAGTCAAGTCAAGTTGACACATCACAACTGACTCACAGAATCTTAGTTAAGTGGCTGGCTAACAAAGTAAAAGTAAGAAATTAATGGTTTGTTTGTAAACAAATGAGGTTCAGTGGATTATCTAGTAAACTGTTTTAAGACAACTAACTAGGTTTTTTTTCTCTTTTGAAGGGGTGGCAAGGGAGAGTATTTGGGGTGGGGGAGCCAGATACCTAGCTTACTTTTCAGGCAAAATAAATTGTCAATGTGTAGAGACTTAAATAGATGAAAGTAAACCATAACTGGAGGAAAACGTGAATGAATCCTTTTACAATCTTGGCATTAACTACATATCAGGTACTATTGTTAGTGCTTTCAATAAGATAACTAATCCCTCACAGTAATGGAATTACTATGATGTATATCTGAGGCACAAATGGGTTGTGTCTTGTTCAAGGTTGTAAAGCCACTAAGGAGAAGACAAATGATTGGGCCCTCAGCAGTGTGTGCTCTGAACTACAATGCCACTCTGCTTCCATGACAACTGAACACATGCTGGGTTCTCCTGCACATCCTGCGTATATACACAGATAATGTTTAAGCCTCTGATTTTAAAATATTATCAATAAAGTTAAAAGTAAACTAAACTGGGAATGAAATAGTCACAACATATATTATAGAAAAGGTACTGAATTTTTAAATACAAAATACTTATATTTAATTACTTACACCTGAACAATTAGAAGTAAAAAAGGAAAAGACATAAACAACCAGGTAGCTGGAAAGAAAAACCAGGAAGCTTAAGCAGTACTGTTCCTCTTTAAAATGCAAGTAAGAAAAAAAAATGCAAGTAAGAATAACAATTTTTACCTACCACATTGCCAAATCTTGAAAAATTTAATAGTCCTTAATGTTTTGACCACATTGACAAAAAAGAGACACCTTATAACTGAAAGTATAAACTAGTAGTTTTTAAATGGTAATTGAGGAACAACCATCAAAAAGTTCAATGTACCTATCACTTGACACATTAATTCACTTCTGAGTATTTATTTCATAGATATGTAAGTAGATTCATGCAATCAGTGTTGATAACACTGCTACTCAGTTAAACCAACCATATCTTCAAGGGCACTATGGGTTCAACTGACTTTGTTTTTCATAGAAAGATTTTCTCTTTTTTTTTTGGTACTGGGGATTGAACTCGGGTCCTTGCGCTTGCACAGCAGGAGGCGAAACCACTGAGCTAAATCCCCAGCCCAGAAAGATTTTCTTGATGAAGAAAGCAGTGCATTAAGTTATGTCCTTGTGCAAACTGTATCTCAATGTGAAACAGAATTTCGAGTAGTGTTAGTTTAGAATATCTAAAAATTGGAAATAAAAAGTAAAAAAATAAAAATTGGAAATATGTCAAAAGTTCACCAATGAGTATTTGCTAAACAAACTGATCCAAAAATAAAATCTTACACATCCATTAAAATAACAAAATCTATACATACTGATAAAAATATATCCACAATACTGTGGAAGATGGTTGCAAAACAGTTACAAATACAGTAACAAGTACAAGATCAGAAAGTACAAGTTTGTATACATGTTGAATTTTGTGTGCATAAAAGACATTGTTGACCATGGCCATCTTTTAGAATGTTGGATCATGATCATGGAGACACAGGTCTTTGATACTATTTAAATTCTTTTACAACTAACGTAAGTTACAGCTTTAATTTTGTGAAACACTACAGTTTAAATTTTTGTTTAGAAGTCAAGAATACCAGTCACTCTATCTCTCATCATATAAAAAAAATCAATGCAAAAATGGATAAAAGACTTGAAATGTAAAGCCCCAAGCTATGAAACTACTAGAAGAAAATAGGGAAACACTTTATGAGTTCTGCGTAAGGATTTTTTGAGTAGGACTCCATAAACACAGGCATCAATAGCAGAAATTCACAAACAGCATACCTCCAAAATAAAAAAGCATCTCCATAGCAAACAGTCAACAGAATGAAGAGATAATGTACAGAATGGGAGAAAATATTTGCAAACTCTGTATCTGATATCCAGAATATACAAGGAACTCAATTCCATAGCAGAAAAAAAATTGAATGAAAATGGGGAGAAGACCTGAAGAGACATTTCTCAAAAGAAGACATATGAATACTCAACAGACATATGAAAAATGTTCAACATCACTAATCATTACAGAAACACCTTAGTGGCATATCGCCTGACTCAGTAAAACAGAGGAGAGCAAACAGTGTTGAGAATGTGGAGAGAAGGCAACCCTTCTACACTTGGCAGGAATGCAAATTAGTATAGCCATCATGGAAAATGGTAGGACTGTTTCTCAAAAAACTAAATACAGGATTACCATATGACTCAGCAATCCCACTACTAGGTATATACCTGGAATAGATGAAATCAGTATGAGGCTGGGGATTTAGCTCAGTGGTTCCACTGCCTGCCTCAGCAAGCACAAGGTCCCGAGTTCAATCCTCGTTACCAAAAATATAATTAAAAAAAGAAATCAGTATGTTGAAGAGACATCTGTACTCACATGTTTACTGCAGTTTATTGTACTCAGAATAACCAAGAAATGGAAACGACTGAAATGTCCATTAACAAACTAATGGGTAAAGAAAATATGGCATATATACATAATAGAATACTATTCAGCCTTTAAAAAGAAGGAAATTCTGTCATTTGTGACAACATGGATGAAGCTGGAGAACTTTGCATTACGTGAAGCCAGGCACAAAATATAAAAGCACCTGTTGTCACTTATGCATGGAATCAGAAATAATTGATGCACAGAAGAGAGGAGAATGGTGTTTGCTGAGGCTTGAGGGAGACATGAAGAGGGAAATGATGGTCAGAGGTTCAACGTTAAAATTGAACACAAGGAATGGGCTCTAGAATCCTTCTGTCACTGTAGTAAATAATACTGTGTTGTATGCTTCCCAATAGCGAAAAGATAAGATTTTTAATATTTTTCCACAAAGAAGTGATGTTTGAGGTAACAGCCATGCTAATTACCTGATTTGAGCCTTCTGTAATTTCCCACAATGTGTAAATATATAGAAACATGACAACATACCTCATAAATTTTGTATAATTATTAGATAGCAATAAAAATAAAATGAAACCATATTAAATGAATGCTGATCAGATCAAACTCATTGCAGGACAAATTCCCAGAAACTAACTTGGGGATAAAATTTATTTTTGCAGATGTATGGATACAATCTTTACCTGGATGGAGGCATCTGTGTAAAGATGTAAGAACACACTAGCTGGTTTTTTCAAACTCAGAAATCTTTGATTTTCACCTTTAAAAAAACGTTTACTGTCATCAATGCATACATCTTCCTAACTAAATTTTAGTCTAGCTATAAGAGGGGTCTCCTTGCTAGGAAGTGGTGACACTGAGACTCTGTCCCTGCAGCAGGACAATCAAATCATCTAATAACTGTTACAAAGAAGTCCTGGACCAAGAAACTGAATGCTCAGAAGGACTCAGCAATTTTAGACTGTAGCATGTACAGGACAAAGTGAAGGGGTCCTAAATGTTGCATGGAAACCACAATTTATACTGCCAAAAATATGCAAATTATGCCTTTGAGGGCGATGTGGAACACATTCATTATTGTAACCATCTGTGCAGTTCCATGCAGTTTTCAAAGCACTTTTCAACTGTTGTCACAAGAATCTTCAAATCAGATCTTTGGAGTAGGTAATTTTCATAGATCTAATTTTATCAATAAAAACACAGGGCATTGAAGGCTTATGCTTATTCCCCAAAGTCACTAAGAAATGACAATCAATCCAGGATGTGCCGGCCAATGACCTCACCCTGCACTGCCTTCCAAGGCATGGCTGACCTACATCATGCCTGACAGAGGAGTCTTGTCAGCTCACCCTTTCCTTCTGTGTTTATTTGCATGATGTCATGCCATTGAGCTGAATGCGTTTAAAAGCAGACCGTGGCTTTTGAACTGTTTGTGAAACATGGATACTCAGAGTGGGCAGAGAATACAGACAGCAGCCCAAGTTCTTAGTCATCTTGAGCACATAGATTCAGGCAGGACAGACAGGAAAGCAATTCTTCTTTATCTGAATGAAGGAAGCTACTGTGCACCTTGTGTTTTCTATGAGCATGGTGGTTCCTCCTTATATTTGCTCTACTTTATACTTTTCTCCAGGAATTTCAGTGATGAAAATAATTTCATTTTCCTTGAAGGTCTTCCTCACACAGATACCAACTTTCATCATTTCACTTCAATCTTTTATGTTAGACATCTTTCTACCCATAAAGCTCTCTGCCAAGCTACTAATGCCTCATGTTCCATTTATATTTCCACTTTCTTGTGCACAAACCCCATGTAAAAGAAATACAATTATGTGATAGGATCTTCCATTTATTGAGTAGCGATTAGCCGTCAAGCACTGTGGGAGCATTTGATACAATGCATATTGTCTCAACTGTCAAGAAAACTCCACAGGCACAGCTCTTACTTCCACCTTGCAGATGAAGAAACAAGACAGGAATGAGTATGGCTCTTACCAAATTGAGTAGGAGAGGTAAGCTTCGAACGTAGACCCGTCTGGCTTTGAAGCCTGGGACTTCTTTCTTGTGAAGGTCATATCAGAAACGATGCTTATTGTATTACATACTGAAAGAAGGAATTTAGTGAAAATGTCCATTTTTTAAATTAGGCATTTTAATGGTCAGCATCACTTTCTTTTACTTGAGTTTTTAAAGGCAACTTGGTGGTCTAACGTGATGAAATTCAGCCCTAATGCAAATGCAGTGCTCCAATCCTATTCCCTACCAACTGAGGGAGGACTGCTGTGTGTAATGCCACTTTCTCCGCCTGGTCAACCCTCAAAGGAAAACAAAATTCATATGATTATTGAGGTCTAGAAATTAATTTTTATTTTAGATCCGTCAAGAAATCCTGGCAGTTATCCATTTTATTAAAATGATTACAATACAGCAAAATAAAGAAGAGGTAATTCTATTTTTCTACAATATAAATTATGAGTTAGATTCTCAGCTGCTGGCTCATCATTGTTCAAGATTCTTTTAAAGGACTGGGGGGACTTTACTTTCCAGAAAATATTAAAGCAGCAAAAGAAAAAAATAAATTAAAAGTAATTATAATTGGAGATGTTGCCAAGGATGTGCTAATTATAAAATCTTCTCAACGTGTTTCCAGGACAGGCTCCAAGTTTTGGTGCTTTAAAGAAATCATCTAAATAGCTGTCCTCTAATGGCTTGTCAGCTATGGTTTATACACAGAACAAGTTTGGTGATTTTTTTTTAAATGGCAAAAATCAATCATGCCTAATTCAAATAAAATACAACCAGCATTCATTTACCTAAGCGAAATATGTTAAAAACAAAAACACTTTTATTAAAATATTTAATACCATAATAACTTATAATAGTATGAAAAAAGAGTGAAGCATTTGTCCTTAGTTTTAATTGGCATGCTCACATTTTGGCAAAATAGTTTTCTAATGATTCCAAAGTTTTCCTCTTGGATCTATACGAAAGTTGTAAAGCAAAGGAACTCATACTTCCTCTGATCATACAGTCATAACTTACATATCTTGCTTTGCACTTACTATTTCTGCAAAATGCAAATTAGAAAACAAAGTAAAAATATACACAAAATATTTTCATATCAAATCATCTTCATTACACTAAATAAACCCAATCCCCAAATGCTATCTTACATGAAAAAGTGTCCTACAATTTATATCAAGATTGATACAGTCCATATTTTAACCAGAGCAGCCTTTGGTTTTAAAAGCATTTTGCAAAATAAAGAAAAATGTCACCATATGGCTGTACTATTGGCTCTTATTCACACTCACAAAAAATGCTTTCCAGTTTTAAAAAAATTACAAAATAGATTACATACCCAGAAAAAAGAAAAATCCCACCGTAAGAGTGCAGTACTTCTTTACTTCTCTGATGTACATACATTCTGTTATATTTGGCATCTCCACTGTTTAAAGATTCAAGTCTTTCCAAGGTGATTAGAAATTATCATTTGATTGAAAAAGATACTGTTCTCTCTTGATATTGATTATTCTCATTCAATGATAGTCTAATTTAGAAACAAAATGTTCTTTCTTTTAATGCATGATTTCATTTAATTTTTACTTAAATGTCCTACTTGGCCAAATCCAGAGACTGCTCAATGTTTTGTTTGCCATATGTTTTAAATTTAAAAGTCAATTTTATGTGTACGTATGTATATTCACAGAGATACATTTCCTTCATTGTCTTGTTCTCATTGCAATATAAATTGTCCATCAGCAATTGTAATTTTGAAATGAACCAAATAAAAAGCTTTTAGTCATTCCATATGAAAAAGTTTCCATCACAAAAAAACCCCCACTAAACTCTAATACAAACAGGATTATGTTTTAAAACTATAGGTTTAGTTTTCTACAGGAGAATGTTCAGTTATTTATATAATAAAGTATTTTTTAAAATGTCAGCAGAACTTCAGGAAAAGAAAATCCAAATGAATTCTAAAGGGCATTGTGGTGTTTCCAGCAGCGCTTGAAAAAAAGTTTTTCTGATCACTACGTATGCTTTGCAATTTCCAATTAGTCTGTGGGAATCACTTCTTCCATGTATGCATTTTGTGGATGGCTGCACCTTTCATTTTTGGAAGATGGGAACATATCAGATATGCAGGCAAAATACATAAATGCATAAAATTCTCTCAGCACTCTGAAAAGCACACTGAACAATTTTCAATTTTCAATAAGGTAATTTTTTTTTAAGGGACATTTTTTTATCTGCACTGAGTAGATACCCAAGTTTTAAGGTGTGAATTACCGAGTATATTTCAAGGGCTTTCAGCAACTCTGGTTTCAGTCCTGAAATGGTTAGGCTGGTCTGGGGGACGTACACAGACTAATAAGCATAGGGCGTTGGCAATTTGAGGCATAGCTGTCCTACTATGCCCACGTTGGAGCTAGTTTTCCGGAAGCAAGGCACTTACTGTAATGGGAATGCAGATGTTTTATGCATAGTTTGAGTAACATAAAATAAGTTAATATTTTTGATTAAAATGAGGGTTTTTTTTATAATTTATATGTCTTTTGTAGAAGTGACTAAATGATATATTTAGGATACTGAAAGATACAAGGAGGCTTGAGCAGGAGTCCTCTGCACTCCCTGAGGAGCACTGTGAAAACACTGCTGCGGAAGAGCATCCTTCAGACGCACTCTCAGAACGGCCGCGCCAGGGGCACTTTGACTGTCTTCACTTCCGCTATGTGGGAGGACTTCTGGATGATGCAGCTCGTGGTTCCCTGCAGCTTGTCCTTTCCCTGGGCAAGATTTGTTAAGGCCATGGCCGCATTGATCTCCTTCCAGTACGTGTCATCCTTGCTCAGTCCCTTTCTGTGAGCTGCACTGGATGGAAGCAAAACAGAAAGAAGAAACAATCAAACGCCCTGCACGTTGCGCTGGAAATGGCATTGCGCATTGCACTGGGCAGATGAAAACACTTTGCTCACCTGTCGCCCTTACTGGATCCATTTTCCAGGGCATCTGCAAAGAGAAGCAAAAATTCAATTACTCTTCTTTTTTTCTTTCTCAATCTCAGGAGTTTCATCATTTATTAACAGGAAGGAAAGTTCATCCAGAAACACGGTTGAAATTTAATTACTTTCTTTCAAAAACAAAGTCATTTTTTATTAAGAAGCATAAAAACAAAAAACAAACAATAACCTTGATTTTGTCTTAGATTCCACATATGCAAGAAATCATGATATTTGGCTTCCTGAGTCTCGCTTAACATGCCAGTTTCATCCATTTCCCTACAAATGAGATGATTTCATTCTTCTTAATGGCTGAATAATACTCCATTGTGTGTATACATCTCTTTGTGTGTGTTTGTGTGTGTTTCTCAGGATTGAATCCAGGGCCTTTGCACTAACTATATCCCAAGACTTTCTTTTAATTTTAAATTTTCAGACATGTCTCACTAAGTCACTAAGTTGTCCAGGCAGGGCTTGAATTTGGGATCCTCCTGCCCCAGCTTCCCAGAGTACTGGGATTACAGGTATGTGCCTCCATGCCAGGGTTATACCCCATTTTCTCCATGATCAAAGTATGTTACATGCATGCACAAATATGCCAAAGTAAAGCCCACTATTCTATATAACTAACATGTATTAAAAATAAATAAATAAAAATAAATAAAATGAGGCCAGGAATTTAGCTCAGGGGTGTCGTGCCTGCCTTGCAAGTGGAAGGTCTGAGTTCGATTTCCGGTACCAAAAAAAGAGAGAGAGTAAGAACAGGTAATAAATTAAGATATACAAAAATCTGAGGTTAAGTTACTGTGAGCAAATGGACCTTATCATTGGGAGGCCAACAGTGTAGGGAAAGGCACGGTCACACCTGAGGCCTGGAAAGCCTGTTAAAAGATCACGAGACAAAAATGGCTCTCTGAGCCTTTTCACAAACCTTCACCTGGGAACCAAGGGAACTAGAAAAAAATAAAAGGCAAGCAAGCAAACCAGACTTGCGTCTTGCCTTGAAAAGGAGCAATCCAAGTTAGTTCCTTCAGCCTTTCATTGGACATTCAGGCAGCTTTTGTAAGGTCTTAGGCATCCGTTAGGAAGGCAGCTGGACCTGTGAGCAGCTGGATGGTCGCCTTCAGCAGCTCTGTCAGCTTCTGGATCATCTGGCCTTGCTTCGGGTACTTTTGGGACTATAAAATGACTTGTGTAAATGGAGGAAAGCAGAACTCTGATAATTCTGATTTATAGACAACTCACTGTGCACGAGGCACTATTCTCAGAGTTTTGCGTTTTAGTTTATTTAGTGTTGGTGGCTTTGTACAGAGCATATTTCTGCAGTGACTGCAAAGAAGACATTCTTTATTCAGTCCAATCGTCTGTATAAATCTTTCCTTGGTACTGACAGGGACAAGGTGCTACTAGAATAGAGAACAAGTCACGGACTTTGGGAGAAAGGAAGCCAGTAACATTGGACATTTTACAAAGAAAAAAATGACTTTAAGGCTTTGCTCAATTTTGCTCACAAATTGCAACAATTTTACTGCCAAAGTGAAGCAATAGGTTATAGGGATATTTATTCAATGAAAAGATCTGGCAAAAGGTATATAAGCTTCACAAAGCTTAAATAACATGAAAGAAGTAACCAAACCTTATGTAGATGGAACTACTTGCTCGGGTGCATGAAAGAAGCAGGCACCCATATAAGAGGACCGGAGCCCAATTTCCACCCTGACCATCGGCCTGAGGATGGTTACCGTGCAGACCAGAGGGGAGCCCGTGCCTATCAAGTCCCTAAGGGGGCACAGAGCGCTGAGATGACCTCAGTCGGGGTCCCTGCAGCCAGAATTCCCTGCTCTGGTCCCCACAGTACTCCCGTTTCAGAAGGGGACTGAACTCCTGCGTCCGGGGCCCCAGGAACCTAGCATGGCTGGGCCTCCCTGCGCCTAACTCCTTGAACTTGTGCCACTGAGAAACAAGTTCACGTGGTCAACTGTACAGCTCTGCAATTCTGCTTACTCTCAGGCTGTATGTGTTTTACACTTTGGTGCCTAAGAAAACACTTTTTAAGTGTAAAAAGCCCAGACCCAAATCCCCATTTGAGTATTCTTAATTAGTTTCACAAATCTTAATGAGTATGCAAAAGGCTGAATTCTCTATTTTAAGGCAGGTGGGCATACTCAATGTCAGTAGATGGGTGGATTAGTTTCATTTCCAAGAATGGAAGAAAAATCTTCATAAAATGTAATGAGGAGAAAAAGCATCTTGTGTTGCTCTCCATAGTCAGCGCTAAAACTGTGTGTCAGAACGCTCAGCCTCAAATATTGCAAACCAACAAGAAAAAGCTGGCTGTCCCCACCCTGGTGGGTATGTGTGCTTGGGATACTTTGGGTTCAGAAACGAAAGGGGTGCTAGGGTTTCCTGTGGCTGCTGTTGGTGGACTGCCCCGGGTAGGGAATATCCCAGTGATGGATATTCTGCCTCATGGGTCCCTCGGGGTCACAGACCAACAGGCAAAGGAAAGACAACAGGTGCCTTTCCACTCTGAAAGGTTTGTGTTTTGTAGGAGAGCAAGAACTCTAAAGAGCTGGTGGTTTGGAGAAAGAAATTTTTCTTTTTTCTATTCTTAATGCTAAGAAGAAATCTGGAGAGATGTCCTAGCTATTTTAAAGGACTGATATCATCTGAAGGGAACTCAGAATATTTACAATTCGATCGTTATACAAAATGGTGGTATTAAATGTTGTAATGCCTTTTTCTTATGCTCTTTCCTTTGAAGTCAGAACTTACTGGCTCTTTTTGTGGTTCAACTATTTTGTCTTTTCCACCCAGAGCCAGTATTTAAGGTCTGTTGGCCCCATCACTAGCAGTCACAGAGCTCCGGCCCCTTTGCCCACTGGTGAGTGTCCTCGCCCGCTCCCCTCTGGAAGTGGCACCAGGAGCTCTAGAGACAGTGGGGCAGGAGGAAGAAGGATACAAATGCTGCCGAAACTCAGGGGGCGCTGGCCAAGCTGAGCTCGCCCTGCCCTGTAGGCTTCTCAGTGCCCTTCCCGGATCACATGGACTTGGGGTTGAGCTGCCCCACATTTGGCTCAGCTGTAGCTTTTACTCTGTAAGTAGCTTGGCCCGGCCTCCCCAAAGTCTGAGCTCAAATGCCTTTTTAGATTCTAAGGTTCCAAAAAATCAGCTATGCTGTCAATTACCATAAAAGCAACTGGTTGGCAGGAACAACTTATTGAAGCAGCCAAAAGAGCGTGTTTTAAGACCAAAGGAAAGAAAAAAAAAAGAGGTGCATAGTTAGGAAAAACTTGGATGCTGTAAAACCCAAACCATGTTGAAACTTAAAATGGGGCTATCCTCAGTTTGGACATGTGTTTCCTTATAAAGTTAAGTAGAGAAACAATTACACACACACACACACACACACACACACACACACACAGAGCAGAATAAAACCTCAGTTCTACAGCAACTCGAGTTATAAGCACAGAGCTCGGTGGGCCAAGGACCCTTTCAACTTTGTTAAGGACCATTTAGAAGCATATTAATTCCGATATATATCCCTGAAGTAACATGTGTAGCCATGAAAGGAGAAAAATACGGCCAAATCTTCTTCCTCTGAGTTTTTTTTTATTCACATTTAACAAATAAGCCCTCAAGTTAGGAATGTTTTAAAGCGTCCCACAAAATACTACACACACCACTGAAATGTAAATGAAACTAAGCAAGAGTAAGCATACAAGCATTTTTAAAATCATGTAATATCTGATATGTTTCCCTAAATTAAAGTGGAGAGTGTAAAAACAAGAGTCTTTTGGGATCAGGGACAAGGAGCCAAAGAAGGGAGAAATTATCACCAAAGCAGCTGTGCAGGCTTTGGGGCGTAGCAGATGACCGGGTTCGTCAGGAGGGAAGAGGAAGCTACATTTTAAGACCACTGAAGAAAATATGGACCTCACCTATCAAAACTGGCCTAGCAAAATTAAACATCTGGGGCCTTTGTCAGTGATCTCAAGCAAACCCAGAGGTTCAGCTTCCTGAGACTCTTCTGCAGACTCGTTCAGTTTGGGGACCATCACCGGTATCAGCAGGGGTGGACAACATTCAGGGATGCAGACAGCCCTGGGACACTTGCTTCTGGAGTTATCTACATACTTGGAAAAACTGAGGAAAAGCACAGACATCAGGAAGTAGGACTATGCAAATCCACAGGGAAGATACTGGAATACCAACTGCTACAAATTGGCAAGATCTTAACAAACGTACCAAAGGCTCCCTGGTTCCACTGCCTGAGGTCCAGATCTCTACTTCCCCACACCAGGAGCCTGGCCAGGCTTAGCCACACGCCCACAGATTAGTTCCATTGTGACTATGCACTTCTTTCCTCTTTAAAAATAGCATTTGTTGTTTTTAATCTAATGAGAAAGTAACATAGGTTCTCTGCACAGAATCTAAGAAAGTATAAAATAGAAAACAAAGGATAGCTAATATTAACATTTGGATCTGTGGCATTCTAAACAAGTATTATACACATTTTAAAAATGAGGTCATTCTGTACTTACCTTACAACTTTTGGATTGGTCTGTTTGTTTATGCAATACTGGGTATTAAACCCAGGTCCTTCACACTGAGCTACATCCCCAGCTCTTCCTTTCCTTCCCCTTCCTTCTTTCTTTATCCCTCTCTCTTCCTTCCTCTCTCCCTCCCTCCCTTCCTTCCTTTTTTCATTTCAAAACCTGGCCTCCATAAATCTCTAAGTTGCCCAGGCTGGACTTGAACTTGTGTTCCTCCTGCTTCAGTCTCCCAGAGTCCTGGGATGACAGGGATGCACTTTGACGCCGAGCTCATTTTTTAAAACAAAACCTTCACTTTTGAATGACCCTGTACTAGTAAGATGATACGCCACCATTCGAGTTCCCCTGATGTGGCAGTGGACTTTGGCTGTGAACAGAAGCAACCTGGAAGAATTCAAAATCTATATCCATCCAATTTAAACTTGACTGTTGAGAAGCGAGATGTTAAATA